CATCAAAATCATCATATTTCATACTATATTTTAGAGATGGTGATTCATGTTATTTTTAACTAAGAATAATAAGTATAACAGCTAGGGGGAAAACACATGTTTTGATAATAGCACATTCATGAGCTGCGTTAAGAAGAATACTTTGTACATAACTTTAGTAAATAAAAGCAAACATTATTATTATTTTTTTTTTAAATATATAAAAGTATGATTTATATATGAAACATGTGAGGCTTGTTTCTTGAGACTTACAAGTACAACTCTCAATAATATAGGTCAATATAAAATAATAAGAATTCAACTTAAAATATATGATTAAATCAGTAAGAGAACTAATAGGTTAGTTTAGTTGTTTTTCAGGTGGGAAGGTAAGCCCATTAATAGACCCTAAATGAACTGGTTTTGTGTTTTGTGACTTGTATTTAAAATGGCGCTTTGCCTCTGCTCTGGGAGATAATTGAATTACTTCTCAATTATCTCCCGAGCAGAGGGGAGGAAACTGTGATGCATGCTGGGAATATTGTGGGGTTGTATGTCTAAAATGTCCCCATGTCCTTCTGCTATTCCAGTCCCATTTGGTCCCCTAGGGGAGTGTCCACCAAGTGGGAGACCTGCATAAATACGGGCAGGTAGCCCACAGTAAACTCAGTTTGTGTTTTACCCTCAAAGCGGAGCTTAGTCTCGATATTGGGGGGATTTTACTACCGGCGACTAGAGACTACTCTTTGGAATTATTTGCCACTTGGAAGGTATTGGCGTTCAGCTGATATTGGCAGTTCGTGTATTTGGAGCTCGTGAAGGGAAGGAGCCGTACAGGTACCGTTCGGGAGTTTGGAGTGTCCCCTGGCTGGCGGTTCGCATGGTTATACTGCATACGCTACCAGACCACATTATTGCGAACGGGGAGCATTCACTAAACGGCGGTTTGTACATTAATTACTGAAGGTACCGTAACACATCTCCTTGCTATTAATTGCTGCACCGTCAAGGCTATGTGCAAGGTCAACTTTCTGGCGTGTTAGGGCATCTCTCTAGGGAGATCCAGCAGAAGGCACGACTGCGGGGTGAATGGGAGGGAGCTTTGTGTGGCGTCTTGGATCAGTGCGTGGACTTCAGTCCAATAACGGTGTAGCCGTGGACAGCTCCACCATATATGGTGCAGCGAACCCTCTGCTGCGTGGCATCTCCAGCAGAGTGGTGAGGTGGAGGGAAAGATCTTATGCAGTCTGGTCGGCACGAAGTACCAACGGTACAATATTTTGCGGTGTTGTTCAATGTGGGAGGTGGATTTTAGTAGTTTGACAGGGTCAGACAGGATAGTGTCTCAGGATGTAGATTGCACTGCACAGCAGTCCAGTCTTTTTTAGTAGTCACAAACTCTGGCAAATATTTTGTATTTGTTTTTTTGCACTGTTCACAAATAAACTGCCCTTTCACCGATGATATTATCAGTATTATACATTTTACTGCTCTAAAACACTCAATTTAGTGTTCAGTAATGCTTTACAAGTACAACAGTAACCCCTATGCCCAGGGTATATGGTGTTTTGGAAAGTTACATGGTCCGTTTCTGTTTTTGCACATTGAAATTTGCCAGGCGGTTATGTTGCATTTGAGACCGTATGACAGCCCAGAACTACCCCATCATGGCATACTATTTGGAAAAGTAGACAACCCAGGGTATTATGGGGTATGTCCAGTCTTTTGTTAGTAGCCACTTACAAATGCTGGCCAAAGCATTAATATTTTTTTTTTGCACAAAAACTGCAATTTCACTGATGATTTTGTGTGTATATTATTTATGTAAGTCTGAGGATTGATTTTTTTTTTAGCCAGACCATACTCCATGTCACACATACAGTTAAGTAAAATAGATGGAGGACCACCAGATAAGACTCTGTCATGGTGTTTTAGATCAAAACCAAGTGTTTGATTATCTGAGTATCTGCTCCTGTACAAATTGTTTAAATAGTAAGCGTGCACGCTCTGAAGTAAATCACACTGAGACACAGGTTTCAGGTTAACAAAAAACTTCAGAATGTTTTAATCGGGGGTGGGGGGGCGGCGAGCCCCTTTTAAAGGCAGAAATACATCATATGCAAAAAGCAAGATAACATAGAGAATACATATTTAATTGGTCAAGTGTTAAGTGTCTTATCTAATGCCCTTCCTCCAAAGTGTGATGTCATCAGCATCCTGGATGAGACTCTCTGGAAGGAGATGCCATCTTAGTACATGACATTCTTTACATTCTTTGCCTGATGGGAGGGGGTGTTCAGCGGCCATTTTGAGCAACTACTGAACACAGAATGGGAGGGGGTGCTCTAGCAGCCATTTTGAGTAATGGCCCACCCAGAACTCCAATGAAAACCGCTGGAATGTGATAAAGGGGAAGATGGATGGATGGATACAAGCCATTAAACAAAGCTGCGCTGCTTACATTTTTTGCCAGACATGGCATAATCAACCAACAGCAAAATGAAAAACTGGCAGATAGCATGCTAAGATGCATGAAAGCTGTATTTGAAAATCATGGTTATTCTACTAAATATTTACTCCTCAATTCTTACTAAGTTAAAACATTAATATTGTTCTGGTTGAAAATGAATATGAACTTATTTTCTTTGCATTATTTGAGATCTGAAAACACTGCATCTTGTTTAGTTATATTGAGCAATAAATGTTTAAAAAGACAACATTTGTATTTAGAATTTGATGAAAAATGTCGTTTTTAGTTTATAGAATAGAACATTTTTTTCAATTTACTCAAACACAAATCTACACTGATCACCCACATAACCATTGAAGTGAATAACATTGTAAGGGCACCTGTCAAGTGGTGGGCTATATTAGGCAGCAAGTGAACTGTCAGTTCTTGAATTTCATGTGTTGTAAGCAGGAAAAATGACCAAGTGAAAAGATCTGAGTGACTTTGACAAGGACCACATAGAAATGGGTACATGACTGGGTCAGAGCATCTTCAAAATGGCCAGTTTTGTGGGTGTTCTCCGTATGCAGTGGTTAGTACTTTCCATAAGTAATGCAAGGAAAGAAAACTAGTGAACTGGTGTTAGGGTCATGGGCACCCAAGGCTCATTGATGCATGTGGGGAAGGCTAGCCTCTCTGGTTCAATAACACAGAAGAATGACTTTAAACTGGCCACTTCAATGTGAATGTGAGCATCAGAACTAGACCATGGAGCAATAGAAGAAGGGTGAATGTTTTCTTTTTTATCATGTGGATGGCCGAGTGCATGTGTGTAATTTACATGGGGAAGATATGGTTGCAGAATGAACTATGGTAAGAAGACAGGCCAGCAATGTTCTGCTGGGAAACCTTAGGTCCTGGCATTAATGTAAATGCTATTTGACATATACCAACAAGTTAGAGATTTTTCAGACCACATACACCTCTTTAAGGTAATGGTGTTCAGGGATGGTTTGAAGAACATGACAAGGAATTAAAGATGTTGCCTTGGCCCCCAAATTCCCAAGATCTCAATCTGATTGAACATCTGTTGGATGTGCTTGAATAACAAATCTGATCCATGGAGTCCCCATCTTGCAACTTTCAGGACATGAAGGAAATTGTTGAGCAGTCCTTTTGTCCAGCATGGCAAACTAAGCTGCTTATTTGCCCTCCCTTAAAATAATCAAATTTCTTCTCCAATTCATCCTCGTTTTTTTTGGTGGCACAAAGTAAATCATGAATCTCAAAGAAACTGAACATATTAAGCCATTGCATTAGTCATTTGATCAGTTTTATATCTGGTTATATATTGGTCCAAATTAATTCAAATTAAAATGTGGCCAAAACCAAATGCACAATCTATTCTTTATGGGAAGCAGTGGGGATGATGGCAGTCAGCCTTTCATTCATCATAACCCTACATTATATGCTTAAAGAGTACTAATCTTAATGTAAGAAGATAATATGACTTCATACCTAATATTGTAAAGTGCTACGGAATTTGTTGGCACTATAAAAATGCCAATCATAATACCATCATTATTATCCATGCATGGCATCTATCCATTTTGAAGCAAAATACTTCAATATAGATGTCACTTCAGTCAAATGGAGAGGTGATTTACACTTCTGTAAATAAAGTAACTGCTATACTTTTTCATGGTTATTCACTAAAGTGTGAATTTGAAGGTAATTCAAAGTAGATTTAAACCCTAAAGGGACACTAAAGTCACCAAAACAACTTTAGCTTAATGAAGCAGCTTTGGTGTCTAGATCATGCCCATGCAATCTCATTGCTCAATAATAACGATAATGACAACAAAGTATTTAACCAGGAAAGGTACATTCAGATTTCTCCGATTTCCAAGTACGTCCATTTAGGAATTAGAGCACTTTGTTTGTGCAGCCCTAGTCACATCTCCCTGCACTTGACTTGCACAGCCTTCCTAAACACCAAATGTGAAGAGTCATCTAATGTTTATACTTCCTTTATTGCAAATTCTTTTAATTTAAAATGTCTTTTCTCCTGCTCTGTTAATAGCTTGCTAGACTTTGTAGGAGCCTCCTATGTGTAATTAAAGTTAAATTTACAGAGCAGGATATAAAAACTTCTTAGTAAGTTATCATCTAAATAAAAATGAAACAAGGGGAGGTGTTACCAGGGCTTCATAAACAGAAACAAAAGTGATTTAATGCCTAAATGGCAGTGATTTGAGCAGTGAGACTGCAGAGGCATGATCTATACTCCAAAACGGCTTCATTAAGCGGAAGTTGTTTTGGTGACTATAATGTCCCTTTAAGGTAAAAATAACCAAAATGGAAAAAAAATATTTAAGTAAGCTATGCTATTAGTTTTGCTTTACTGGTTTAAATTTAAAAATATTTTTTAATTATCACTTTAATAAATATCTAGTGATGTCCCGAACGGTTCGCCAAACGGTTCGCGAACAGTTCGCCACGAACGGTTCGCCACGGACTCATCATTGAGTAAACTTTGACCCTGTACCTCACAGTCAGCAGACACATTCCAGCCAATCAGCAGCAGACCCTCCCTCCCAGACCCTCCCACCTCCTGGACAGCATCCATTTTGAAGCTGCATTCTTAGTGAGCTGTCCAGGAGGTGGGAGGGTCTGGGAGGGAGGGTCTGCTGCTTCAAATCTGCACTTTTTGTAAACTTAAAAGAAAGAGGACACACTATTCACACATAAAGCATTTCAGCAAGCAAGCTGAAGTGCCTTAGGGTTCCAAAGTCCACCTTTAATGTTGATAAATATATTCAGATAACATAGATTACATCATTGTTTAGATGTGTGTATTGTGGTAACTTTTAGTTCAGCAAAATCCTTCTTCTTGAAATTGAAATCTTGTTAGGGATGCTCATTCATGTGACAGTTCAACTCAGCCAAATACTGTCCAATTGAATTTGAATATTGTTTTTTAATAGCAGATCATTACATAAATGATGACGCAACTATTAATATTTTCCAACATGTAAATCACATATCTAATAACACATGAAATTACTTAGGTAGCAAAGGAAACAATATATTCTCTGGCTAATTATAGCTATAATTAAAATGCACGATAGTTAGAAATGCATAAAACCACAGTTGGTAAATCTAAACAAAATACTAATGCAAATATGTGTGAGATTACTCCCTCATTTTGTCCAGTTAAACTGAAAGGGTGATGAACTCTGGCAACTAGCTGTATTGAGTAATTGTAATTAAGTTTGAAAATAACAATAATGCTAAATAAAAATGAAATAAAATGTTAAGTTGTTAAGTAGAAAACTTGCTAAGGCGTATAAACGAACAAATAATTGTCACTAATTATTCTATCTTTTGTTTAGATGTTATTTATGTTTTATTCAGTACATATATTATCAAGTCAAAGAAAAAACATAATATACTATTGCAACATAAAATGAACACTGTTCTGTACAGTGATATTTATTCATCAGTGCAATTATTTCATCATACAATAAAAATACCATCTTAGTTAATAATATTTATATAAAAGATTTATAGATGGATTTGTCAATATAAATTATAGCTCTATTGTGCACTTTCTAGATACATCAGATTAAATGTGAAATGCCAAACAAGTTAATGTAACGAACTAGCACTTGGACAAGAAAGGTAATATTAATTTTACTACTAAAAATTAATTTTTAGTAGTATTTCTAGACTATTAACACATGTATATATCTATTTTGTTTATCCATTCCTTTACTGGGAAGGGCAATTTCCTGGCATCTTTGAAATCGTGTTACTGTAATTAATGTATTGCAATTCCCCATGATGTAACTTCCAGTGTAGTTCATGTGAGTCAGAGGAGCATGTAGACTTATGCTGACTCCTCCCCATTGTCATTGAGACCTATGTTAATGGAAAAATAGAAAATGAGTTTTAAAAGAGAGCTATCTAAATATTAAAACTGCAGAATTTTGGAATTTCGATAAAGAATATGCAATCTTTATACTCAAAACAAATATAGATATATATATTGTTGGGGATAAAATCAACCCGGACCCTTTGTGGATGATGGATATTTGCAAACTCATTCAGAGCTGTGGACATTGGAAATGAATAGCAGAGACGTGTTCAATAACCAATTCAAATTATTTTATTACGCAAGTTATATTTATTCCCCATTATCATAGCAGGATGGGAGGGGGAAAATGAGCATATGGGCGTGAAAATGATGACAATAACATAGATTGTTTTTCACAAGTTATGAGCAGCTGTTTCTCATTATAATTCTACGCTATAGAACGCATGCAAATTTGATCAAAACCAGATATTTACAAATACCAAAATCTTGGACAATTAACAAGAACATTTCGAAATCAGTACTTTTCCCGTACAATACCAAATTTATTCTTGGTTCAAATTAACCCTTATATGAACAGATAGGATAGATAGTGAGATGGATATTTGTATCTACATATATATGTGTGTTTGTTAATACTCCTTGCATACGTTCACGCTTACAAGATCTCCCTGACAGATAATAAATAAATACATCTACCATTTGCCTTCTCTTTTTTTCCTTAACCCCTTAAGGACCAAACTTCTGGAATAAAAGGGAATCATGACATGTCACACATGTCATGTGTCCTTAAGGGGTTAAATTTGCTTTGTTTTTCAAACAAACATGGTTGTCCATTGCACAATTTGTCCCATTCAGACAAATTGCAGTTCATACTAAAATAAATATCACTAGCATTACCAACTTTTCTGTAAATAGTTAAATCAAGCAAAGGAATCACGCATTCTTGACCAAAATAAGTAAACTGTAAAAAACTGTGCAAAAAGGCAAAAGTAGATTAGTTGGAGTATATATCTAGTTGGACCTTTCTCTGTTTCAAGTAATGTACTCTGTTCATCAGCAGAGATGAATAGCCTATAGACTGTAAGCTTGTTTAAGCAGGGTCCTCTTCAACCTATTGTTTCAGTATATTTTCTTGTAATTGTCCTATTTATAGTTAAATCCCCCCTCTCATAATATTGTAAAGCGCTACGGAATCTGTTGGCGCTATATCAATGGCAATAATAATACTGATTCCTAAATTTGCCATTTTTTCTAATTGATGTACAAAGGCTAGGAAGCCTTTTTGGAATATTTGATGAGAATGAGATCTTATAAATGTATATTATAGGATTTAAAATTGAGTAAACGTTTGAAATATTTTTATACATATTTTGTTGTACATTTTCATATATGTATATACAGTATCTCACAAAAGTGAGTACACAAATTTGTAAATATTTTATTATATCTTTTTATGTGACAACACTAAAGAAAGGACACTCTGCTACAATTTAAAATAGTAAGTGCACAGCCTGCATAACAGTGTAAATTTGCTATCCCCTCAAAAGAACTCAACACATAGCCATTAATGTCTAAATCGTTGGCAACAAAAGGGAGTACACCCCTAAGTGGAAATGCCCAAATTGGGCTCAAAGTGTCAATATTTTGTGAAGCCACCATTATTTTCCAGCATTGCCTTAACCCTCATGGGCATGGAGTTCACCAGAACTTCACAGGTTGCCACTGGAGTCCTCTTCCACTCCTCCATAATGGCATCACGGAGCTGGTGGATGTTAGAGACCTTGTGCTCCCCCACCTTCTGTTTGAGGATGCCCCACAGATGCTCAATAGGGTTTATGTCTGGATACATGCTTGGCCAGTGCATCACCTTTACCTTCAGCTTCTTTAGCAAGGCAGTGGTCGTCTTGGAGGTGTGTTTGGGGTCATTATCATGTTGGAATACTGCCCTGTGGCCCAGTCTCCAAAGGGAGGGGATCATGCTCTGCTTCAGTATGTCAAAGTACATGTTGGCATTCATGGTTCCCTCAATGAACTGTAGCTCCCCAGTGCCGGCAGCACTCATGCAGGCCCAGATCATGACACTCCCATCACCATGCTTGACTGTAGGCAAGACACACTTGTCTTTGTACTCCTCACCTGGTTGCTGCCACACGCGCTTGACACCATCTGAACCAAATAAGTTTATCTTGGTCTCATCAGACCACAGGACATGGTTCCAGTAATCCATTTCCTTAGTCTGCTTGTCTTCAGCAAACTGTTTGCAGGCTTTCTTGTGCATCATCTTTAGAAGAGGCTTCCTTCTGGGACGACAGCCATGCAGACCAACTTGATGTAGTATGCGGCGTATGGTCTGAGCACTGACAGGCTGACCCCCCACACCTTCTGCAGCAATGCTTGCAGCACTCATATGTCTATTTCCCAGAGACAACCTCTGAATTTAACACTCCTCCTCCCTCTTCACACCTGAGACCTTGTAACACTAACAAGTAACATGACACCAAGGAAGGGAAAATGGTTAATAGGGCCCCATTTGGACATTTCCACTTAGGGGTGTACTCACTTTTGTTGCCAACGGTTTAGACATTAATGGCTGTGTGTTGAGTTATTTGGAGGGGACAGCAAATTCACACTGTCATACAGACTGTACACTTACTACTTTACATTGTAGCAGAGTGTCATTTCTTCAGTGTTGTCACATGAACAGATATAATAAAATATTTACAAAAATGTGAGGGGTGTACTCACTTTTGCGAGACACTGTATGTTTACTCATAAGTTTGTTAGATACTAGCATGGACATTATTTTATGTATATATTTGTTTGTATTGTTTCTGGGTTTTTTAAAATATATTTTTTATTTAGTATTTTTTTAATATCATGCCTTTTTAAAAAAGAAAAATATTTGTTTTGAGCATAACGATTACATATTCTTTATCAAAATTCCAAAATGATGCAGTTTTTATGTTTAGATACCTCTCTTTTAATAGTAATTTTCTATTTTCCCATTAACATAGGTCTCAATCGCAATGGGGAGGAGTCGGCATAAGTCTACATACTCTTCTGACTCACACGAACAACACCAGAAGTTACATCATGGGGAATTGCAATACATTACTTACAGTAACAAGATTCCAAAGATGCCAGGAAATTGCCCTTCCCAGTAAAGGAATGGATAGAAAGATATACATATATATATATACATACAATATACATACAATATAGAAATATAGAAAGATATACATATCCACTGGAGGAATATGAAAGGGGAAATTAGCAGAAATGTGGTATCATTGACTAAGGAAGTCTTTGGCGAAATACATTTTTGGATGAAGAGGATTCATGTTTTTTATTTGTTTTTTTTTTTACTGTTTTAGTTGTTATTGTGAGTTCTACACAAAGAATTTCTGCAGAAAGTACAAAAAATGGTGTCACCCATATTTGGTACCTAAACTGCTTATACCAGGAGCCAGGTTTACGTAGGCTCCCGACAAGGTGAGCAAGTCTCATATTTTGCCCATGCTCTATTAACTAGGAAAACATTCTGCACAATTGGTTTATTCTCCATTTTTTACTTTGTGTTATTGCTGACAAACAATGAAGAAGAGTGTGTATTTCCCTAAAGGTATAGAAGCTAATAAAGCAGAGTCAATGTTGAGGGCATTTTAAGTTGTGAGTTGGATGGTTTATAACACACTTGACAAATCCAATATTTTAAAGCTCTATTACACAATTATTGTTTTCTTTGTTCTCGCTATTGGTTCACCTCTATTGGTTACTTTTTTCAACTGTGAACCAAATTGTGGGAAAATTGAAACAGCAGAAC